CTCCCAGACTAGGCCATGGCATGAGCCAAAACTTTGAGACTGATCAGCTAATGGATTTGTGGCGTCTAGTCGGGAGATTCGTGTTGATTACCTCTGAAAACTAAATCCCGTTGGGTGTAATGGAATGAGTTAATAGAAGAACATAGAAATGCGCAGAGTGGTTGACTATGCCATGAGACCTACAAAATTATGAGAGATGGTTGCATGCGGCTGCCCAAGAATTACTGCAGCAAATAAGGGAATAGCCAGAGAATGGTCAGACCTTAGAGTCAATTTCTCACTAATTGAAGGGGACAGAGAATGTGGAAGCTAAGTTAAAACAGCACTTGTTTTGGGGGAGTGGAAAACATAGGTACCAAAGCATACAAATTATAATGTAGGCAATGGTCAAAATGATTTCTGAGATACAAACAGGAATTGACTGGCCGAGGGAAATAAAAGGGTAGTAAACATGGACTGTGATGACATGTTTGAATGAAGAGATTGTCTAGAAAGCAATTTGCTATGCCAGTTACAATTTAGGTTGCGCTTCAAAGCCTGATGCCTGGATCTTAAAAACAGCACCAGCTGTAGAATCACATGTATCTGTGTGTGTTTAAAACCTGCAGGAGCAGATTTCAAATCAACACAGCCCTCAGAACCTTATGCCCCCTGCCCACCTCCCACCCTGTGGTTTGTAGATTTGACCCATCTGTCTGTGTGTGAGCTCTCTCGGGTCCCCAGGATGTGGGCTGCAGGCAGCTGGCCACATTTGTTCCCTAGTGGAGGCTGGGTGTGGGTGGGGTACAGTTACAAATAGCTCCAAAGAACAATGGGTGTCCTGGGAATGCTTTGGCAGCTTAGAATATATAAACTGTAAGCCAGAAAAGTAAAGATTGAATTACCGACAAAAGTAAAAGGTAGATTGTTCTCTCTTTGTGTTGTATGCCTACATATACACATCTACAGAAGTATTTGCATTACAGTTGTGACAAAAGCAGATTGCAGCATGATATGCAAAAAACAGTTTTTGTAGGTGAAAACTGCTAAATGAGTGTAAATGTCATGCAGCTGCTTACTAATATGTATTCCTAAGCCTGTTTGTGTCTGCAATCTCTCATATGATATAACAGCACAGGGAAAAATCTTTGACACTTGTATATAGGACTTTTTCTTAAAGCTCATCATATCTTGGTGATGGGATTAGTTTTTCCACGCTTTGTGCATGATTATATTTTTGCGTTTGGGACATAATAGCCTTAGTAACTATGTAAGCAATCAAAGTGATTTTGAAAAAAAAAACTATAGCAATTAAAGAAATATTTTCTAAGTTTAAATTTGGAAATATGTCCAAAAATTGGTACAACTGGGTAATAATTACTTATCATCAATTTCCTTATACCTAGGAGGTACCTCTCTAGGAAAGGTGTCAGTCAGACTTTGAAAAGCTGTTGTGGTTTTCCCAAATTACAGCTCAGCTGCTACAATTCAAAATTGCAGCATTCCTTTGCCTACAGGAAAATGAAGGGACCCTCTGGGCCCATCTGTACTCCACAGCTATCATGAAACTCGTGCAGAGGCACAGACTAACTGAAGTTGACCACACAGAAAGCCAGATTTGTTGCCAGAAAAATGGTGGCAATCACAAATAAACAACCCCCCATTAATAAGGATCTCTTGAGTTGGGACCAGGAATAGGTGTTTGTTGCAAAGCTCCCCAGGTGAATCTAATGTGGAGCCACATAGAATTCATGTGGAGCATGACCCACATGGATAGATTTGCTGAGGGATCGTTTGCACACAGCCTTGTGGAGAGGGGTAAAAATTAAAGTGGACTCGGAGGATTGGGTTGATCCAGGCTTAGTTGTTGCATGGCCCTGAATGATTCTGCAAACAGAATAGCAGAAGCATGGTGTGTGGAGCCAGCAGCTCTTGAAAAGCTGGTAAGGTCACTGGGTGGCCCTCACCAAGCAGACTACCCTGGGGAGGAATTCATCTACGGGAGCAGCTTGTTGTCAAGGTACTGCTCTTTCACGCAGGCAGCAGAACCCAACTTTGATGCTGATGCTGAGGGACCAGGGTTCCTTGGAGCCTCCGAGGCTTCTATCCTTTTCCACAAGTGGATGCGCAGGGGTGCCTGAGTTGGGCTGGACATTTGACTAACACATCCCAAGAAAGAGCTGTGGTCCTCCAAGTAATTTCTACTTTGACCTTGAGTGGATTTCTGTGGACTGTCTTTGGTTGTTGCCATGCAAATTTACAGTGAGTGATGGCAAGGAAGCCCACAGGGGCCTGCAGTCTCTGCCCTTCTTCTTCTGTATCAGCAAACTAAACATTTTTGTCTTGCCTTTATCACTAAATAGTAGAGGCTGGGACAAGACCCAAGTTCTGCATCCATTCAAATTCTTGTGTAATTCGCCAAGAGTTCTGATTTGGGCTTGTAGTTTGTCTCCATACAGCACAGAGATTGGCAGATTTTTTTTCTCACCTTGAATAAATGACGTTTGTGATAATCATCATTATCACTGACTCCCACTGGTTGCACTCCTGACTGCCAAACATCTGTTAGCCCTGTACTTCAGGCCTCATCCCCTCTGCCAAAATTCAAGGACATTTTAGTCCCATTTTACCGCAGATAACATTGAGGCCTCACAATCGAGAATAGAGGTATCCAGAGATCTAAATTCAGTCTAACCTTGAGAAAGAGCACTATTTCTCCCCAGGCATGCATCACTAGTAACCGTGGCCTAAGAGCTGGGTCAGAGGGAGAACCGCTCTGCTAATACACTATGGGTGCCTGTGTCCTGATTTTTCTGTCTTGCAACCTTAGCCTTGGGGCTTTTCAGTCCCATTCACCCCTTCTTCCTTCAGAGCTTTACCTGGTAGAACTCTCCAACACTGTGTACTTTCATAGCCTGGCTGGTTTAGATTTATTTTTCTGGGAGGTGGTTATATATCTCACCTGTTTTTAATGTACTTTCATTTTGCTCCCCAGCATAATCTCCATTCCCGCAGTTTAGAAGGCAGAAAATACTGTTAAGCTCAGCTAGAGCCCTAAACAGATGTTCTGCACGTCTCCTAGTATAGCTGTAGCTATGCATCATGCTCAGGCGTCTTAGCCTTGGCCCGCCAGCATTGCTGTGCCCATGCCAACTGCTTGCAGAGAACGTGCAGTAAGCAGAAACTGAAGGTGGGTTAAATCTACCAAAGTCAATTTATTCTAACTCTTCAGTGCATTGGCATCTGGACTTCATGAGGCACCACCTAACTTGGGGAAATCTAGTAGGGTTGAGTAAAGAAAATGCAAGTGTTCTAAGAAACCTGACTCTGTAAAATATCACATCAACATGAGAAAACAGTTGCTTTTTCTGGGGTTTAAATTACAATGAAAAATTTCCTGGAGATTACTCTTTGCCATCTCATTTTACTTGTCTTTAAAAAAACAACAGTTGCCCATTTGTAAGAGTTTAATGCATGCACAATTTTTAAAAGTGACTTCTGTAATAAGACAGCAAAACATACAAGAATGTCAGTTGAAACACAGTGCAGGGGCTAGCACTTAGCCTAGCTGATAGCAAGACCATGTTCCGCAGCGGTTTGCTTTGCTTTGGTTCTCGGCTGCAGCTTCTTCCTGCTAATGCAGGCCTGGGGAGGCAGGAGTGATGTTTTAAGTAACTGGCTTCCTGAATTGTCCCCATACGAGCAAGTATTTGGGGATATCACCATGAGATACGAGTACTCTGTATGTCTCTTTCTCTCAGATGTTTTCTAAAGCACACTTCCCCTTCATAGACTGCAAGAGCTCTCTCTTAAAATCAGTAATAAATGCAAGGGTGGGTTAGGAGAGAGATGACCTCAGAATACAACTATGCTTATATTCCTGAGTGGGATTATGGTACAATCAGGTACTATTTGTGAAGTTCTCAAACATGCACTATGTGAGATCTGATTCCACTTAAAACACAAATTCAAGCTGACAGTCCCGCCTCTTGTGGCTCCTCTTTAAGCAGAGAAAGAAATTGTGTGGGTGACTGTTCCAGGCCCTCACTCTGTGACTCCATCAGGGATTAGCAGCCACCTCCATTCTTGACTTTGCCTGACCCAGCTAAGCCCTAGGTAGGGACTTGCAGGTGAGGCAGACACCATGCAGCCATGTGGGTCTTGTGATGCCCCTGGGCCTGGCCTCTGCATACTGTCTCCCCTAGTATGTGCCTGAGATAGGACAGTGGCTGAGAAATGGAGATTAGAGGGACAAGTTGAAGGCATCAGAACTCAACATGACCTGCAAGACTAGATACTGAGAGTTAGCAGATGGGGCAGGCGAGGGCACATGAAGGGCACGAGGGAGAATTGGTAAAAATGTTTCTACTGAGATGGAGACCCAGCTGAATGTCTCCACTCTTGATGTCCACCCTCTGACGTGGAGCAGTTACAAATGCCATGGAGATAGAATGCTTCTTCCATTGAGAAAGCATAATGGAGATGTGAAACAGAAGAAAAGTGTTTTTTTAGAGAGGAATTCTAACTTGCCACTTGCATGCCCACACCCAGTAAGAATGGGTACAAAGGCGAAGTTGCAGACTTCTTAACCGGGGCCTTGGTTCCAGCAAACCCAGGCAGGACTCCTTTAAATATGTACTGACTGGTTCACGTTTCTCTCATCACCTGCAGTGCAGTGGCATTTCTTACCTGGCCATATATTAAAACGATATAGGCTGCAAGCTCTCTGTTCTCATCCTCCTGATAAAATCTAGTCAACCTAAGAGGGGAAAAAAAATGCCAGTACACCAGAGGGGGAAAATAAATTCTTCAAAAATGAAGTCATCAGCTTAGAAAAATATCTCAAAAGAGGCAAATAACAAATCAGAATGAAAGTGAAAAGGCATGGGCAAAATAATCCATATTTGTTTGCCAAAATGGAGAAAATGTTTCATTGATACAGGGAGATAAGACTGATGCAGGAAATACATCTGCCGCATACAAATTTATTAAATGCAACTCTCTCTTTTTCTTTCTTTTAGATAAAAAACCTCTTCATGAAATAAAACCCCAAAGTAAGTTATTTTTCCTCTTGTGGATGCAATTTATTCTCCTGTTTGCTGCCTTCCTGTTGTGTCTGCTTAGGAACTGAGCAGAATGGAGGTTCATGTGAAAGGGCTTTTCGGGGTTGGTCCTTGTTGAGTTTGAAGTCACATATCAGAGATTTAAAACCGAAAGAAATGTGCACATCTCTTCACTCCCTCTCAGTAAAACGAAATCCCTGCCTCTAAGTCCATTGCACTGCAAATGTCATCTAGAATTCAGATTTTTGAAGAGATGGAAGGCATCGAAATTAATAAATATTTGTCAGTACGTACGATCCTGAGCACCACCTCTGGGCTGAAGTCTGATTCTATGCCTTTCCTCCTCAGAGGCGGTCACACTTGAGCACACAGCCCAGAATCGTGGCTACTGTGGCGTCCATGGCAACTTGGCAGATAAGGACCTGAAGTTCCACAGGGAAACAATTAGGAACTGGGAGTTAGGTCTAGTGCTTACTCCACCCTTCCCCTGCCTTTCTCTTTCTCTCCTCCTCTTCCTCCCTGTCTCCTACACACACACACACATGCACACACACACTCACCATGCAGCCTGCCTTTCCAAGGAGCCCTATAATGTCTACACTGAATGTACCTGATGGTGTTGGAGCAAGCACAGCTGGAGTGAGCAGTGGCAGAGGTTCTCAGGCTAGATTACATTTCAGAATGACTTGGAGGACTTGGCAAAGCCTCCCTTGTCAGTCTTTTGTGACTCAGAATGGGGGGGGGAGGGGCGGTGTCAATGTGAGAAGGTGGCAGTGTTCACTGTTGTTCTCAATGTGTGTATGTGTGTTTACATGCATATGGAAAGCAGAGCCATAGAGAGAGAGGATGAAATTGAGATCTTTCATCCACAGATTTATTCTCTAAATGGGTACAACAGTAAGTTTTGGGGCTGGCTGCAGCCAGGATCCTAGAACTCCATCTAGGTCTTCCACATTAGTGGCCGGGGCACCAGTATTGAACCATTTTTTGCCTTCTTTGGCACAAAAGCAGGAAGATAGAGTGAAGAGGAACATCTAGGCCTTGAATAGGCACTCAGATATGGAATGCTGGCATCCCGGGCAGAGATTTAACCTGCTACACCAGTCCCAGAAATCTTTATTTTGTTTTGAAACTTCTTGGGTGATTGCTGCACCCAGCTTGGGCCAAGAAGCTCTGTCTTATGAGTGTGTTTCAGGGTCCTCACATGTCAGAATCTTGGATTATGTTCAATATAAGGGGATTCCATAGAGCTCATAACAATGGACTTAGAAAATAGGTGTTAGTGCAGCCAGCTTGAAATTCAGGCATAGTTTTTCTGTAGTACACATTTTTCCTGACCTGTCCTGACCTCTCGGGTGGCCCCACATCAAAACAGAGCAAATGAATGAGATGGCATACTGCCAGGAGTTCCTAAGAACCTGCATGTTAATAAAGTCCCCAAGCCATTCTCTGGCCCTTAGGTGAGGCACCCGGGGAAACCTCATGCCTAGGACATCCACCACACAGCTTGGCTCAGTCTTGGAGGGAGAAGAGTTTCCTAAGTGGTTTGCTTTGAAATGCTTGGGTAGGGTGTAACTGCCAGAGTGTCTCATTTTAGTTTCAAATGGATGATTTTTTGAGTTTTTAAATCCTGAGAAACTAAATTTCACGGAGCTTCGGTAGACTCATAGCTTTTATTAGTCAACCTCTTTGAAAGAAATAAGCTTCCTTGAGGACAGATAGAATCACTTTGAGACAGGGGCCATGGCTTAAGAGACACGCGAGAAAGATCTCATCAAGCCCTTCTGTTCCAACTTCATAATGCCGCTGTAGGCAGCAGACTCCTAGGAAGATGTCGTTACTTCTGCAGCTGAATGTCATAAACTAGCAAATCTAACTTTGTTAGCTTCTTGCCCTGCTGTCATCTGCTCTTACAAACATTATCAAAGCATTGCGAGTTACCTCTGACTTCCTACATGTTTGATTTTTGAACTTGAAACCTGAAGGTTGAGAGGACATGGCTGTATATAGTGTATTATGGAGGGACATAGAAAGAAATAGGCTACAGACTATGTGGCCCCTACCTGTGTCAAGACCCCCTGGACGACAGCTACCTGCATTCTTCAGTTGCCTGTCTGCCTGACATGGTCACACACCATTTGCTGAAAATACATTTGATGGACGTAAAGGTTCAGCTAATGCTAAGGATTCAGGATATCCACTGGATCTCTGGGTGTCACATAAACAACATCATGAGTATCCATGTGATGGTCAGTGTGAAAGTTGCTGCAAAATGTGCGTGTATGTGTGTTTTAAAATTAATTTCATGCTTAGTTTGTGAATCCTGTGCCATTCTAATTTGGTTACATCTGTACTTCCAGCCATAAACCCCACAGAAGCTATTTCCAGTCCTTAGGGACTCCGGAATTAGTTTTTGCTTGAGGTTCTTGCCACCCCCTCCCCTGAACACCATGCTTAATTGCTGGATACTGCACTGGAATCGCTTAAACTCTTTTAATTTGTGATTTCCCTAAAAATAAAACCTTAACAGAATCAATGTGATTGCAAAGTGCTCCCCAAGGAATCCAACTGGAGTTCTGTAAGCTGCATGGTTAGGAGTGCATTATCCAAATTCAGGCTGCAGTTCTTTGGTAAAATAGGGGCTTAGCTTAAGACTCCATGAATCATCACTGATGCAAAATCAAAGTCAATTATGAAGATAATTGAGAAACAACCTGTTCCTATATATAGCCAGACACATGATCCTCCACAAGGCCTGCCGAGTTGAAAACATCACTCAAAGCTGTGCACTCAGTCCTCCCTGAGCAGGCGGGCAGAAGAGCAAAAAGAAAGTGAAGTCTTAAGATATCTGTTGGCAAATCATAATGACAAACTGGGGGAAATGTGTGCAGTGCATAGCTCATGAAAGCACTTATTGTAAATGAGATAATTTAATCAATTACGTTTCCTAATGTACTAAACCGAATGTTTCATTTTCTGCTTCTGCACATCTTAAATTATCTTCAGGTGCTTTATGAGATTTAATCATAGTTAATAGAAACTTCATTACCATCAAATGTGCTTTCAATAAATGTTGTGTAACAATGTCAGGAGGTGCTGTAAAATACAGTGGGTTCTGAATGGCAAACATGCACCCCCGGAGTCAGACTGAAAAATGGTTATGTTCAGACAAAGAGACTCCTGAAGGCTTAGGGGATGTGGTTTCCTGAAAGGCTTTGCGCCTCTCAGGAGGAGCAGGCAGGGGATTGGTACCCTCACAACAGGAGTGAAAGTATCTTGCTTTCCCCTGGAACATAACTCAGTGCTATGCATTCTGTCTTCCTCTCTTCCATGTGGTCTTTGTAGCTACTGAAAAGAGAACTCAGCAAGAATCCAACCACTACTACTGGAAGTAGCCATCTTTAGGTCATGCTAAGCTGCAGCTCTGCCCAGTGTTAACTTCTTCAATGTAGAATTATCCTTCTCTGACCCTAACTTTAATCCATTTCATTAACTATCTTCTCTATGTCAGTAGGGCCTACTATCAAATCAGTTGTCTAATCAGAAACTTGGACAATCTCCAAGTTCCCTCTGGCTTCATCCCTTTTTTTTGTGCAAATACCAAACAAATCATCATATGCTGGCTGTTCTCCCAACTAAGCAGATCTCTAGTTCATTCATTTCTATCAGTTCTAATCCATTCCTCCATTTATTCAACGGATAATTATTGGATGTTTACATTATGCTGGTAGATATGCCAGGACATAGAGTCAACAATGAGCAGTATATGCAATTTCTACTTCTCGAAACCTCACAGTTGAAGTGAAGAGAGATAGAAATACATGTGCAGAAAAGAAAATGATGTAGAGTGCCTGGTGGTATGGAGATGGTAGGAAGGGTTAGGCAGAGGAAGAATAGAGGGTGAGAGACTTGGGCAGAGGCTGCTGGCGAATTTCAGTGTAAGGTTTGTAGAAAAGCTCTCTAACAAAATTACACTGGAGAAAAGACTCACAGCATTCTGGAAAGTTGGGAGGCCAGAATTTAAGGGAAATGGAATGGCAGATGCAAAGGCCATGTAATGGACACGTCCTTGAAACCTCTAAGGCACTGCATGGAGGCCAGGATTTCTAGAACAGTGTTGTCAGGCCAATGGCCTTCTCTGAGATTGAAAAAAAAAAGGGGGGATGAAAGAGGAACCTCTCAAATGTGTTATAGATTGTTGGAAGTACTTCAATTGATTTTTGGAACGACTGGATGCCACTGAGATTTTTTTTCTTCTGATTGACAAGACTTAACATTTTCAAAAGTAAACTGTACTTACTGCATCGAGTGTAAGTCTGGGGAACCTAGAGAAGTAGCAAGGAGGTCAACTGCAGTGATATATTGCAATAACAATCTGTTTTACCCTACACTGTTAGAGCAGTTGGAGTGTAAGCCAACTGTAGTTGGAGCAAATGGGTAACAATAGCATACCTTTGGCTTCTTAACAGCTCTCTAGTAAGAGTTGTTTCTGGTGCTGAATTGACAGTGACCTAAGACCCAACCACTAGACTCACCTCCTAAATACCATAATTGGGTTAAATTTCCATCCTTTTAGTAGTATTATCTGATAATTTTTTAAGTTTAAGCCATGTGAAATTGGGGAGTATATGGTATTCAAACTACAGTTGCAAAATTTTTTTCTTCAGTAGATACTTATTGAATAATTATATCATACACATAGACTTGCTTCACTGAGATTTGCAGGGGAAAAAAAGAAATGCATTTTCTGTATAATTTCTTCTGTAAAACTTTTCTATAGCTGTATTTGTTTCTTTTTTATTGGAAAGGTGGATCAACAGATAGAAGTGGAAACAGAAAGATTCATCTGCTGGTTCACTCCTAAGTGGCACAACGGCCCAAACTGAGCCAGTCAACTTGGGCTGTCCTCTACATCTTTCCCAAGCCACAATCAGGGAGCTAGATGGAAAGTGGAGTAGCTGGGACATGAGCCAGCTCCCATATGGGCTCCT